AAATATTCATATTGTGTATAACACATTGTTATTTGTTTTAACTGAATTTATTGTGTTAATATTCAGAAATCGATTATTCGCTAAACTCGTTGTGGTGATGAGGCGGAAGAAATACCTTTAAAGTATTTCAAAAGCAGTAAGCACAGTACACCAATATTGTATATGTGATTTTGTATTAATATTTTATTATACAAATTTTTTCATCTACTAATATTACAGGTTTTCTGTGGGTTGGTATATAGTTACTGAGTATAACTATAACCGTGTAAGACGTGCGGTTTTACAATATTGTAGTTTACATTAAAATATGCTAATACACAGAATTAAATTGTATATAATTAAGTGTGTAAATAAAAAAAAATATATCTATAATAACATTAGTTTTTCTCGATAATGGACACCTCTCAAATAATTAATTTTCTACTGCTGCGATTATTTTAACGAAATTCTTTATTTATCCTATTATAATACCACAGCCAGTGGTTTCCAACGCAATCCTTTATTTGTTTATGATAATCGATTGTTTTTACTTTAATGGTCTTAGGGGAAACCCAATCCCTATTAGCAAAAACCTTTTTTATAATCGTATGACGTAATAAGATAATACTGTTATGTATCGTACTAATGCGCATAATGCGTTTTTAAATCCCGTAAATGCTCTGAAAAGTCTAAAGAAAATCATAAGTATGAATTACAATGTTAACAAAATTATATGTCTAGAAAATTTCCAACGGCTGCGATGTTTAAGTACATGTATTATTAAATTATATACGTTTGTCGATAATTATTGAATATCATTAATTATATTTTGATTCATAGGTATAATACTTCATACACGTTTCATTTAACTCGGATTAGGCGGTGATAAGAACCACACTCTCTGCTTTAATATCGGCAGTGGACGTCCGAATTGCATAGGACTTCCCTTTTTCACCTAATGTAATATAGTTCGTTTTTTTTTTAAACATGATGATTTCTGTTTTTTACATGACACGACGTCCTTTGTTATTTTATGTCAGCCACTTACATTATTTTCATCCAGGTCTCTACTTAATTAAGGCCACGTTTATGTTGTGCTTTTTTATTTTTTCGCGTTCTACATTAAAGCGCAAATGACTTTTATTACTCGTTCTAGTATTTCTAAACGGTTTCTGACGTTCTTTTGCAGAAACAATGACGATCGACAGACTTGAAATGTAAATTAATCCATAAGCTTTGTTATTAGTATGAAATCGTTCTTGAATTTACTTTTGTGTACAACATAATAATATTACGTAACGTCATAAAAAAAGTACCTATAATTATTATTATAGTGGTTTTGCACACTAGAGAATAGCGCAAAGTGGAAACTAAATGGATTAGAAAATAGTATGTTTTGCTATCGTTATTTTATAAACAGTCAAATTCTAATTATTATACTATAAAATAAACAAATTTGAAAATACAAAAATCATTTTAAATGGATTGGTTTAGACAAAAACTATTAAGATCTATTTATTACAACGGAATACATTATTATTATTAACAATACAGTTGCATAAAGGTGGCATCATCAGCAATAGGTACCCTATTATTTTACTTTATGGTAAAAAAAAAGTTTCGCTATAATCAGTGGAAAACAAGGCCCTAATACTCAGTAATACTGAAAGGATGACATAAAAACCTCGAAGAAAAATATGTTGATCGGGAGGGCACTCAATGTATTTATAAAAACATTTATGTTTCACGTTTTTGTGAAATTTTTCAGACTTCAAACACTAATTTACTAATGTGTGTAAAATAATAATATTATATTATATTTGTGAAAACGATAGCAAAATATCACAAAAGGTTGAAAGACTTCCCACACTCGTTTAATCATCGCGTAATAATATATTACCTATGCGGTTTAAACAATATAAAATATGCTATAGTCAGCTGAAGAAATTATACGTACAAATTACCCAAAGTATTGATCGAAGTTTAAACGGACTATATAATAATATTATGTATTATTTAACTCTCGCAATTATTAAAACGTTCGTGTTTTGATAGGATGGGTTAGCTATATATATATATAGGTACATGTAGCAGCCGTCTATATATAGTACGCGAACAGTTGTTGCAATGTGCATACATAATAATAATAATATTATAATATTCACAGTTGTCTAATGATCTCCCGAGCAATGTTCATTTATTGTGAAACTCCGAGTGCACTCGGTCTATTCTTCCTCGGTCGTATCTGTTTTTTGTTTCGTATTTGACACTCGTACAGTGCCTATATAGTCGTAATTAAAGTCGAATATCGGTCCAATTTTACCCTCGTTAACTCTAGGTTGGCGGTTGAGGGGGGGGGCAGGTCCGTCAACGTTGCGTGCATTTATAAACCGTATAATAACAACAGTAATGATAATATTATTATTATAAGTATTCGTACCTTGGGCCACGCAAATTTTTAACGAAGGGTGAACACTGTACACACACACACTTGCACGCACACCCGAGCCTATAATAATATGTACGTATATATATTATTATTATACATAGTCATACGTATATGTTTTGTTCTGTTTCGGCATAGTATAATTTTTATTCACAACACACCCGCCGCCAGAGCGTAACCCTCCTCAGCAGCAGTACCGGAGCATCGCCCGTCCGCAAACACAAAAATATTGCAAATCCGTTTCCAGTTATAAAATATGGTCCGCGGATTACACGATGATTATAATTTGATTTAGAGAACGCCGTGACAGGCAGGTATACATGGCGGTTTTTATTGGCCACCCCCGGGACAAAAGGTTAAATCTCCAGATTTTTTCACCGGTGGGGTAGAACAAAAAAAAAAAAAAAAACAAAATATAATAATAAAAACATGCACATTCGTATAATACATATTCAAATGTATAATACGTGTGCAAAAAAAAAAAGAAAAACGTACGTGTACATTTTGTTTGCAGAAAGTAGGTAGGTAGGTACTGGTAAAATGTTCGCTTTGCTCGGCTGAAAGCGGCTGTCAGTCTAAGGTCGTTCGAATATATATTTACCGCCTCAACAGTAATGATAATAAAGTGAAACGGACTGGAAAAAATAATATTTACCATTATACCTTATTACCCCGTCGTGTGTGATGAAAAAAAAAAAAAAGGAAAAAAATATGAAAGAAGTTTAACGAATTAAATATGTCCGTCGAATAATGCACACGGTTAAAAAAAAATCCATTGAATAAAACGTCGGAAGTAGATAATATTGCTTAAAATCTAAACTTTTTGATTCTCAGTAAAGAAATATTGTATAATACATAATATCCGTTGATATGTCTACATAGAATACCTACATATATAATTTAATATAGGTGTAGGTACTCTGTACAATGGTTAATATGATGATACACACATTTGAATGCAACGAAAAAATCAAAAAAAAATTCATACTTCCAAAGCATTTATTTTCTACCAACCATAAAAATTTCAAATTCGCGTATTATAAAACATATATTTTAGTGCATAATATTATTCAACGAACGAACATTTCTCATTAGTCATTAAAAATATGCATAAACAAACACTTATCATGCATAATACATATTAAAATTATACATTATATTTTATGGACTTGGCGAAGTTAAATTAAACCTAACCACCGTATTTTCATACATTATAAATTATTATAATATTATTTTATATTATTACGGAAGAGATTTAATGTAATCAAACGATGCGCATATATGCAGTTTAAAAACATTTCCAGTTCGTTTTATTAAATATAATATGTACTATGTATACCTATAACAAATAAACTGCATGTTTGACTTTGAAAAAAAAAATGAAAAACAAACAATGATCATATTCTGCATTTTTCCGAGTCAACTGGCATTAATAATATTCTAAACACTAATAGCCTCGAATTAATTTTCAGCAAATTCGCGTCTCGTTTACGCGGATGATATTAATGTTTTCGGAAGATAAGTATTAGTGTTATTATTATATACGTTTCCCGGGGCCCTTTTGGGCGGGTACTTTAAATTAAATTTACCTGCAGCGTCACCGTCACCATCGCCGACAGCATTTCCTCGTGTGTCTATATATTACATTATTATTATATTATACCTGTGTCCTATATACAGACAAGCTCACCGCAGTTGTAGTTGTTGTCAACGAAGTGAGCTTATTGTATTTTCGTGTTTTTTCCACCGCTCAGCCCGCTCGGGGATGAGAGGTCGCATAATACTACCACTGCTATACAGAAACAAAGAACTTCAGAGGGCGAAAAAATGAAATTTAAATTTAAAAAAAAAAAAACAATTCGGTGTCCTTTCTTTCAATTTGCGTGTTTCGCCTTCGGAGAATTTTAATTCCAACAATAGTAATGATAATTTAACGTCTCATTGTCTTTCGAAACAAAAAGACTGCACCATAACATAATAATATAATACTCACGTCCCAAAATTTATTATATCGCCCTTAGGCTTATCGTACGTTTACTGAATGCACTGACTCGCCGTTGATCTACATGCGATTTACTGCAGCACAATAATAATTAATATTATAATAATATTGTATTCTTGTGTAAACGTCATAATAAACGGTTCAGTCTTAAGTGAGATGGTCGTCGTAGCCGGTGCATTTGCACGCAAGAGATTCGTTTAAAGTGAATTATTCCGGCGAGTTTACCAAAAGTGAATTTCAAATAAGAGCCGCTGCAGCCGCCGCTCGCGGACCGGAAACGGATTCGTTCCGGGCATTTGTGAGAAACCGGAAACCCAAAGACAATCGTCCGTTTTAGCCGCATATTATCACTAAACATACGATGTATAATATAATATATAAATTATTATTTTACTACTCGTCCTTACCACGGTGACCCGCGCATTACCAGAATGCTGCTGACCATCAGCACTCGAGTACTCGACACACTTGCCAACGACGTATCGTTTAGCATAGACGTTCGCAATCGTCTTCCCTGTCCCGAAATCATTAAAATCCACACTGATAACTATATTATATTTTATATTTTTACAGGATGCAACGCCAAGATCGAAAACCAGTTCAAACTGCAGTCCGCACCAGTTTTACGCGAACGTGAGTACCTTCTATATTACACAGAATATTGTGATATTATCTGCCACAATTTCAGCCAGAGTTCCGGAATGCTGAAAATATGAGGGTTTTTGAGTTTCTGCATTTTGTGTCTATGGTGTATTTGGTCACACTGTGTGTAGGGATGAGCCATGCGTGGCCAGTGGCGGATTTAATGGAGTAATAATAATATAATATGGACATGCATTCGCTGAATTGACCATTCCCTGAGTGGGCCCTTGTACTCACAATTTTTTCTTTTTTTTTTTATCGGAAAACGTTTTGATCTAATTGAGTGCATTGACACGTCACATGGTGTGTGCATCGACTGCGCTAATAAGTAATCAAAAGTATTATAACTGCATTTCAAACGCATTCCCGCATATCGACTATCTGTAATATATGCATGCATTTGTTTTTAATGAATATATTATAATACAGTGTCCAGTGTCCACGATAACACATACAATACCTTGGTGACAGATAATTCAATAAGAAAAGACAACAGGGAGATACTTTACAATCTTACAACCAAATAGTGTTTTTGTGTTCGTCTTTGAATACAATTACCTATTTTCTAAAAGTGCTGTTTCAAAAAAAAAGTCATAATTTTAATACTATGCATTCTATAGTCAGTTACATAATTAATTCGTCTATGGATTAATTATAATTACTTAAGGTAATTATTTAACTTAAAATATTTATTAAAAAAAAAAGAAAAGGATGTTCTAGCACTGCGTATAGGTAGGTACGTTATTATTTTATTGGGGGCTTTTTGAATAAGTAGTGTTTGCGAGGGTCTTTTTCCTTAAATCCGCCGCTGTGTATCGACTAAAATAAATATATAAACACCTCATAACCTATATAATCTAATTATTACATAAAGATTATTGACATCAACACATTAAATAGTTTTGGAAAAGAGTACGGAAATTCCAAACTAAGGAAAACATTTCGCACACTCCTGTTTTTCATTCTTTGTAGACAACATCGTTTATCATGTCAGACATCATTATTTGTTGCAAGACTGATAGGTATCTAATTATGATTATGAATAGTTGTACAATTTGAACACTGCTAAAATAACGAGTACGATGAGGAAATAATTTTGTTATCGTTGTGAGATTAACTAACTAACTTATCTAATATAAAAATGCATAATGTAATATAAATGCTAAATCGTCTGAATCTCGATCGGATTAAATTTGAAACATTTGATTATTTGAATCTCTTCTGTAAAGTTATTTGCTAATGGTTTTTTTACGTTTATTGGTACGAGCCACAAGTTTTAATTTTCAAAAGCATACATCCTTTTGACGTTGGTTGGATGCAGACACACAGTAGCGTATGAGTTGTATGAAGTTTAAATGCAATTATAACTGCAATCTAAATCTGATTCTGAGCTTTACCAGTAATACTAGTTGCTTTTTTTTCGATCGAATAGAAAAAATTCCGACTAAAAAAAATGTAGGTTCTATTTCCTGCTTTGAAAATATTTTCCTAAAACGTTTCAAACGAAACATAATAAGTATGTTCCAAATAGTTCCTAAAATTATCGCGTGTCAAACATAACAGTTTTGAACACGCATCGTTATTGACAAAAATAAAATCGTAATAATTATTAATATCATGATTGACTTAGGATAATAAACTACCCAGTACTTTATAAATAAATTCTAAATCTTGTAAATTGTATCGTTGATATTCAGTGTTTCATAGTACATTCACTCTGATGATGCATTTAGAATATTATAACAATATTACCATAACGGTTTGCATATTTTCACCCTGGATATTCATCTGATTTTATTCACCTTAATATACCATAATTTATTTTTTATTACAATTTTCTAATTCGCTGGCTCACTTAAATGTCAAGAAGCGTTTTAGATTTCAAATTATCTTGACATTGTTATTTTATTGAACTCACCTGTATAAATAAAATTGTTTGAATTCGATTGATTTCAACTTTGAATTAAAATTAAAATCCAATATTTTTGACAAAAGTTTCTCACTGACATCATTTTTAGATGTTACCATACTAAATTGATCGTTGTTTTGTCCGTACCTTTAAAGTAGGTATTACTCAGTTTGAAATATCATTTTAATTTTAAATAAACCTGTCAGTATAATGTTATAGAATATATATTTATTCGTATTAAAATTAGTGTGAGACATTTATATTAAATGATCGAAGCCGAGGGCTTAAAATCACCCACGGATCCAGTGCAGTGATTGTTTTATCAAACAATTATTGGGCTACGATAATAATTATTAATGGTAGTGTTTTTTTTTTTCATTTTTAAGAGACATTTATTTTGATTTAGTGTGCCAGAGCATTTAAACAGGCCGTTAGATATTACTTAATGTTTGTTCAACCATCAAAATAATATTATAAGACTATTTGAACACAATAATTGGACGAGATCCATAAAAAAAAAAACAAAAAACACGAGCATAATGCAATGTGTAAATCATATTTCAATTTAACAGGTCGAAAACCAAACCGCTGTATTGGCATCGGATAAAATCGATGTTAAGTATAACTTTTCGTTATCTCACGACCACACTTCTATAATGTTCCAACATTACTATACAGCTGCTTGTTGTGTATAATGTGTACACCATGTGCGTCATGGATGAGCGCATTACATCAGTGTATCTGCAGACGAGCGTGTCTACATTATGAAAGAAGTATATGATATAATATTTTTATCACAGATTTCAAATATGGTTATTTGTCGGATTAAGCTACGACTATTGCATTTCGAGGTAAATGAATACGCGACCATAATAATATTGCTATAATTTAATATAATTGCAGGTTGTATATTATTTGAATACAATTTATAAATGCAAAAAAATATTATTCATCGGATTTCTATTGGTTTTTTCATTGCACAGCTCTGGTGATAGGTATATTTTATAGTGGTAAATCTAGGAATTTTCTCTGAACTGTCCTTAGAATTTTATTATAGAATTTTATTTAATATACTATGTGTAGGTAATAGTAAGCAGTCATATCACTTATTATTTTATTCACAATTATTTTGTATAGATTTTAGTTCATTTGGTTTTGATTAATTTTATTTTTAATTTTAATTGGAAATAGCTGGAATCATATTCAATTCCTCGTTGAATAAACATACTCAAATTTTATATTTTAATTTCAACAAAATTTATGTTATTATATTACTTGTTTATTTTAAATTTAAATTAATATGATGGTGTTTGGAAAGTGTTCAAATATATATGTTATAAGTACGTCATATATTATTATAATACCATTACTCGCTTAATTCCTGAGACAAACACATAATATCATACTTCATAGTTTTCTGGGTGTGATGGGTTTGAAGCACAATTTTTACTGAGAAATGTTTGATCGCTATTCCGAAACTTAACCTAAAATTAACCAACCAAAGACATAAAACCAGTAGAGTGCGGTAAAAACATCATTAAAAACCTTGATAACTCTAAGATTTTTAGCACAAAATAAAATAATATGTCTCGAGAACTTTATTTTGCGATTGCATACTTCCAAGAACCCCCACTCAGAGTATTTAAAAATATTCCGTTATCAGATGTATAATATTCTAATAACAATAATAATAGGTAATCTATAATCACATTATAATATTTTTTCTTCATTTAAATTTTTTTTGGTTCTAAAACCGTTCATAATTTTTACTTCAAAAGATAAATCAACCCATATATTACCCATTTTCAAAGGATTATAGTTTAAATCTCGACACTCCGGAAAATAATATGATATCCGCAGACAACGTAAGAAATAATGCGAAGTCAAACACAGAGACAAAGATCACGAAAGAAAATATTCGCCATTAAATAAAATTTACTACTTTGAGTAAGCAGAAAATGTGAAAAAAAACACAGACTTTACAACGGATATTATGATAAAATAGCATCCAGTTTTTAAGTATACATTATTATTGACTACATAATATAATATATTATTTATGAAATACTATTATCTTGTGTTTACGTTAAAAACCTATTTAAATCGTATCCGTGACGTCAAGATAACCCATGAATTCGTGAAAACACATTTAAAAGGGAACGGCATCAAACCCTCATAATATTAATTTTATATAACATTATAAATATTAAAAACAATGGAAAATGAATATGTTCCTCGGTCGGAAGCCGCCACAAAGATTTATACAAAAACGGTATAAATTCGACGTAAAACGAGCCGGCTATCCGTTAAACGTCTGATACGGTAAAATATATACTATACCTATGTATTTATACCAACTTATCTACCTGTGAGTTCGATAAACTAATTACGCCTATCCTGCAATAAATATACGATAAATAATTTACTATACAAAGACGTGGAGTACCAAAAAAAAAAAAACGTGATTTCCAACTTCTCAAACCAAACTCCAACTAACCCTCTCCATATTTTATTTTCAGAACATTTTATTTTTTTCACCTTACTTTTAGTACATTGCAAAAGAATGTTTTTTATGTTTATTATTTCATTCTACCAACTCGTTCGCTTAAAATGTTTTGGAACATCTGTACTTACATCAGAAGTCTAGCGCAAGACTCACGTGGTTTTTTCTCGATATCGCATCGTCTATCATGCTGTTGGGTGGTGAGATGGACGTGAGAGGCAAATTATCTTTTCTGACCTCAAAGCCCGTTTGGGAGGAAGATTATTAAGAAGGGCATGAAATTTGTATATATTATGTATATTGTATATGCATAATTATAATGTATAGGTATTATACTAATTTGTATACAGGGTGGTCCAAGATGATTACTTGTTTCCTTAGGTTGGGTTAGGTTAAATGAGAAATCGAGAAAACACTGTGGGCAATCCTTTGTGGTATAGGCACAAATAATTATTCCGTCGAAAATCTCAAGAGCTTCTATTGAAGTCTTACGACGTATTTGCATATTTTCTATAAGATATATCCTTACTGTTAGTCTGCATTTTCGCAAGTTAATTAAAAGCGAGTCCTTCACTGGCCCTTCATTTAATTTAAAATTCCAATCAACGTCCATCATTTCTTAAGATATAGTTGAGTGTGGCTGAAGTTCATTTGAAGTGGCT